TGTAGTCGAAGTAAACAAACACGACGACACGGGCGTTTGCCACAACATCGCCGCACGAGTAGGTGGATCTTCCCGTCTAGTACGTGCTGGGTTATCATAGCGACACACAACGAAAATTCACTGTTAAGGATAGCGCTTTTACGCGAAACTTTTACGCGGTTACGTTGTAAGTGGTCTATACTGTATTCAAGTCCACGCAAAACACAATTGTCCGAAGCGGTAATTGCAAGTCCTGTTTACATATAATACAACATTCAAGTACACACACGACACAATCGTCCCACGTGATAATTGCAACTCCTGTACAAGTATAAAACAGTCTTCTATTGAACAGTTTTAGGAGAGTGAAAATTCCGCAACAGACTCTAGATACGGTTTCAGTTTTTCTATGTGCACGATGTCCCGCCCTGAACCATCACCGAACTCTATTTCATAATTCACCGGCGATAGCTTGGCCACAACTCAATGAGGCGCAGTGTACATTGTCCGTTTTTTAGGCCCCACTGGCAAGGTCCTCAACAGCACCAACTGGTCTTGTTCTAACGTTATGTCAGTCCAATGTTCGTCAAATAGTCTCTTGTGCTTCTCCTGAGCCAACGTGATGTGTCGTGCAGCCAATCTACGCGCTTCGTTCAAGCACTCACGCACGAGCACCATGATTCGGAGCTTGCTTGCAGTTCTTGCACCTCTTTCCTTTTATAAGCCACATCTAAGGGGAAAACAGGGTCACGTTCATACAGAAGGAAAAAAGGAGAAGTATGAATTGTGTCCTGATATCTTGTGTTATACAGTGTAGACCGCATATAACGTATGTCACGGGAGTCGCGAAAATCCGCACTATAAGCGGTACCGCGTTATAACCGAAACATCAATTTTTCAGGCCAAAATACATGCCATGTGACAACTTACCTTTGTAAAAGAATTTATTTTATGTTAGATGAAAAATAAAGCTTAGTTTGAGGAAAGTCTTTATTTCACCAGACTAGTACACTTCTCTCTCAAGTGTGTCACACATTTTGAAAGAAATGAGCGGCTTTTGCCTGGCGCAGCCTCTTAGCGGCGTCGCGAATTGCGGACGGATGTTGCGAGCGTTCAGGGTTGCTAACCCTAATCACTTTCCTCCGGAGATGAAAACGCGTGAAAATTCGGATCCTTCATACGGTACGCGCCAGTAATACCTTCAACTTTAGCACACGCATGAAATGCGCCAAATAAGAAATCCGGGCGATGTTCGAGGACACAAATGCTTAGAAATCACCACTGTAGTCGAAGTAAACAAACACGACGACACGGGCGTTTCTGCCGTCTTGAGAGCGCCGCCACGACATCGCCGCTCGAGTAGGTGGATCTTCCCTTCCAGTACGTGCTGGGTTATCATAGCGACACACAACGAAAATTCACAGTCAAGGATAGCGCTTTTACGCGGAACGATGAGATGAACGCCGTCTACGACGACGATCACAACGTTGATCACAACCGTCGCCATGTTCGCGGATAGAAGCAGCCGGCCTGGCCGGCCCGCGACGGGCATGCAACGCGCGCGAACACTTCTCCTCGACCTGCTATTGGTCTGTCGCACTGATCTCTACACTAGGGTCTGTCGTTGCGGTTGTTGGTTTCTAACGCAGCGGAGGGACGCACGCACGTGAATGACACGTGCGTGCGTCCCTCCGTCGTTAGGGCAACTGAAGCCTCTCTCTTCTAGCATCCTCGATCATCCGCACCGGTGCGCACCGGGGCACTGAGGTGCGCCCCTTCATCTTCGATCAAGTGCACCGGTGCGCACCGTACATCCTCGATCAACGAAGCGCACCCTCCCGGCGCGGCTTTTCGTTGCCCCAACGTGCACCAAGAAAATCGGCGGTGCGCCGGGGGGCAGTCCCATCAGGCATTGCGGCCAGGAGCGGGAATCGAGAAGATGGCGGGAGTAGCAGACGCGCAGACTATCGAGATGGCGATCTTGCAAAAACGAACACTCCTCGCAGCTGCACTAGATGATTTCCTCGGGTCTTCTGACGGCGAGACGACGAGCTTCTCACCATCGCCGCGATTACTGGCGATTGCTGCGGTGGCAAGGAGCGCCCGAAAAGCACGAACTTCGTGGAAAGCGGCGCGAGGCGTTTCAATGACAGCGAGGTACGGCTATTATCTGGTGTTTCGTTTTCTTGAACTAATAATGATGGCCAACATATACATGTGGAATTGTCACCCGCTTCGTGACCCCATCGACAATCACGTCCACGATGTTTATTTCTGTGGGACCGTCAAATCCGCGAGTAAAAAAATAAAAGAAATTGACAGCAGACGGGCACCGTGCGCTGACCTACGCAAAATAAACGAACAAAACGCAAAGTGACGCAAGGTGGAGCTCGCCGCGGTACACCGGCGCGGCGCAGTTTGTCCTCGATGATGCACCGACATCGCGCTGCACGACCGAGGAGCGCTGTGCACTGTGCTGGTTTCAGGGCGATTCCGGTGCGAGTTGATCGAAGATGCTATTCGCTTCTCCCGCTTCTTCAAGCAACCTCCTTGCACCGCGAGTGCCGCTTGCGCAACGCTTGCGGCTCGCGCCGTCAGCGTCGTTATCTAGTGTCGCGCAGGCAAGCGTGCTCGCTGCTCCGGTCGTTGGCGCGGTCGGCGGGCTGTGCCAGAAACCGCACTATAACCGGTATTTCCCTTCGCGCGCCTGCGTTTTAAGCGGTATGTAATTACATGGAGTTCTATGGGAGGCGAACCGGTGGTTTAAAAAAACCGCGTTACACCCGGTCCTGCACTATAAGCGGTTACGTTGTAAGTGGTCTATACTGTAGCAGAACATTATATGGGGCGAAACATCAGCCCAATTCTCTCCAGATGAGGTGGTGATTCGCATCATCTGTTTCAGCGTTTTGTTGTTTTGTCTTGCGACGGCCACATTGGCCGTGGGCTTGGCTGGAACCCGGGCTTGAACCAGGCTCCTGCTGCTGCTCTTGGCTGCCGCTCGTCCTCCTCCCTCGGCAGACACGTGCGAGGTGCCCAGTTCTCCCGCACGTGAAGCATTGTGCTTGGACGAACTGGCGCTGTGAGGGGGAGTGGGCAGCACCGCAGCGGCTGCAGGCACCGCTCCTTGCCGCCATCTTGTTTACCGCCGCTTCCGTTGACGGTGAGCTGGCCGCACGCGCAATCTCGCTGGCGTCCTTAGCTGCTGCTTCCATCGCCTGCGCTGCCTTCACTGCGTCGTCCAGCGAGGGGTCGGGGAGCTCCAGGAGTCGCGTCTGCATGGCGGGGTTGTTGATGCCACAGACGAACCGGTCCCGGAGTAGCGAGTCCAACTGGTCACCTCGTAGCGCAGCGTCGAACTGCCCGAGGGTCTCCCCGTCCCGGTGGCTCCGGTTGTTGAAATGGAACCGCTTCATAAGCGTGGACGGTGCCGGGCTGAAGGGCGAGCGCAGCGTGGCGAGCAGCTCTCCCAGCGTGTTCACGTGCGGTGTGGCCAGCTTGAGGAGGTCGAGCAGGAGACTGAAGACGCGAGTTCTGCGGCTGGCCAAGAAGATGTCCCGCTGTTTCGCCTCGGGCGTGTCGTTTGCCCAGAAGAACACATGGACTTGTTCTTCCTAGACTGGCCAGGTGGACCCATCTCCCTCGAACGGCTCCAGCCTTTCGTACAGCGGCATGGCGACAGGAGCGGGGGGCGGAGATCCGACTCTCTCGGCGGCGTGGGCCGAACCGTGCACGTTGGTCGCCTCCAGTGCCACGTTTCCTCGCCGCCAGTGTCACGATCCTTCTAGAACGTGGACGAAGGGGGCCGAAGCACCCGCCAAGAAGAGACGACATGCAGCCTGGTTGTGAGGGTAGACGATGACTGACCGGGGCGGCGTGCGCTCCACGGCATTTATTCGGCGCGGTGACCAATGTTGCCCGCCGAGCCTGCCGGCCACAGACGGGCGGGCTGGAGGGGTGCTACATACTGTCACACTGGATGCTTGGAATGTAATTTTCTTCCTTCTGCTTTTTTAGTATAAGTTTAATTAACCTATCATTTGAAAATGGGCCTAAAGAAAACACTCAATCTTTGTTTTTCCTGACTAAAACTTAATTAGGAATGCACCTTTGGTTGTTTTTTTTACTTTATCAATATATTTAATTAAATATTTTTCAACTATTAAATACACAGAAGGCGTAATAGCTGTTTGATTTTGCAGAACATGGTTACTGTAGAAATAAACTACTTTTTACAAAATATTCTTCACAGTTTCACTTTTCAAACATTCTGCTTTGCACCTAACAAAAAAAAAAAAAAAAGAAATGGACGCCGTAATATTTTTCTAACAATAGACCAATGGTTTGCAAATGGGGGTCCTTTGGGATCCTTGAAGTCCTTCTTGGAGTCCTGAATCCCTAAACCATCAGTCAAGTCGAGCTCTAAACTTTCAAAGCGTGTCATGCTTTTTAACGCTCCCCCCCCTTCCCACACAAATACTGTCTGTCGCGTATTCATTTTAAAGCAGGAACTTAAAAGTTGACCTTCCTAATTAGTGTCCTCTACCCAAGAGTATACAGGTTGTCCCCTAAAAACAATTTACTGCTGTTGTTGTTGTTGTTTTTCGTAAAAATAAACTATTCATTGCTAAATATAGCGCTAGCTGTCCACCAGATGCCAAAATTCCAGAGCTTGCCGTTATCTGGTGAAAAATATTGTAATTTCTGGAAATCTTCAAAGGGAAAGCAGCGGCCAACGACCCCCACAAATACGTAGAGCTGAATGGCGTCTACTATTGGGAATCGGCCCCAATTTCTCATTCTAATTATCCGAAAATCACTCGCGACTTTGGAATAAGAGGACGGTTAGGCCCGAAACTTCGGCCGCTGGTTCGGACCAAAAGCTCTACATTTGGTCGGAGAGTGAGAGTTTGCCGATGTGCAGTTTATTTTTGCAATATGAGAATCATACATCTTTTTGAAGTGCATGCTGTACTGTCCCCCTCTCTCTCCAGCTGTTCCTTTCGGTACTGTTGTTGCAGTTCGGGATCAGCAAGGCGGTCAAACACAAAGTGAAGAAGGAGAGGCTGCTGCTGGTTTCCACCTCTGGGAAGGCGCAAGTACGACAGCAATAACCTCGCCATTTCGCTGAAAGCAGTCGCGGTTGAGGCACAGCGCGTTTGGCCGATAGCGATTGCGCTGGGGGTCGTGCGATCGCGCTTCTTGCCACCTGCTCTTTCTCTCCTTCTGGTGTCTGCTTCGGCGCTCTGAGCCTTTGCGCGCAAGCAAAGCATACGATGGCGTAAACGTGCCCGTGAGAGAGGATGTTGTCGTCGTGTAGGCGCCGACGACGTTCTCACCTGTGTGTTAGGAGGGAACGCATTCGACGTCAAGATTATGCTGCGCTCAAACGTCGAGCGGCACGTAGAACAGGGGTTCTCAAACCTTTTGGTCTCACAAAACCCCAGGAAGCCTCAAAAACTGCCACGGAACACTCTCCCCCCCCCCCCCCTCCATATTTTCCGACCGACAAGCAACAGATGCACATTTGTAGGCAATTTTGCTTGTGTTGTTTCCCATATATGTCCACCATATCAATCGCGATGTCAGTGCAAAGTGAGATGAAGGTGCTTTGCATGGTCCTGCCTCGCAGCCTGCGGCATGGGGGGGGGGGAGGGGGAGGGGAGGGAGAGGGGGAGGGGAGGGAGAGGGGGAGGGGGTTGCAATATAAGTGTTCGCGGAACCCATGAGACCAGCTCGTGGAACCCGTGTTCCCCGGAACCCAGTTTGAGAACCCCTGACGTAGAAGAAAGCGTTAATGAGCAAAGAATGGACACACCGTTGCGAACAAGTAATTTGTGCGGCGCGTTTGGAGAACGTGTTTGGTGCCATAGTCGGTTACAACTCAAGAAGGTAGGAGAAGCTCCTCCCACAAGCGTGATGCACCCATTTCAAACCTCTCCGCAGTCGAAAGAAGAGTTCACTGGAAACGCCCCTTGTTCCGCTTCAATGGATTCCAACTTGTCTCCGATCCCCCTTTTTAAGAAAGCAACCTTTGTTTTCTTTGGAGGGGGAACCGAGCCCCTCAAAGCAGCCTTTGTATCCATCGGAGGGGAAGCTAATCCCCGAAAGTCGTATTTGTGTTTTCATCGGAGGTGGAAAACTCTAATCTCCCTCTCGTGGCTTCCACAATGCTAAGTCAAAGTCGAAAGATGAAGCAAATATGTACAAAAAGGCAAGACCCTCCTCATGCATTGGCCGCGAAGTCACGGAAACGATGGAAAGCTATTGGATGCGGAGGTGGCGGAGGGATATATCATTGCCTTTGAGGGGCATTTGCCACTACCTTCTCAACCTGTAACGGACTATAGCAGTACCACGTGTGATCGGTTGTAGTTTACACTGGATGCCACGTGCTACAAAATCGCCGGAGTTGTCAGTCAATCACGACGCAATACCTTTGAAATGTCCCACCAGCTGACACCGTTCATTCGCGTCACGACCCGTAATCGTCCGCGCAATTTCGTTCTTGTGACCCTCAGTTTGGGCTGGTCCATGGATTCTCAAATCGGGCTCACGGGAACCCCGGGGGTTCCCCAGAGTTCCTTCGAGGGCTCCTCAAGCCACTAAATTTCCTCAGCCACTCCTGCCCTGAGTGAACTGTTCTTCCAGTTAAGGCAGTGTTTTAGAAGATCTGGGCCATCCTTCGACACATATCCATATGTGCCAAGCAGGGGAGTGAAAGCGGGAGCAGAGCGCGCCAAATCCTGAATGCCGGGATCGGTGGTCCCAAGGGGAAGAGCGACAAAAAAACGGAGAAAGAAAGCAGACGACAGGTTAGGCATGTTCGTCTTGCCGCGACGAGCTCAAATTGCTCGAGTGCTTGTCAACTTTATTCATTTCACCCTTCATCAAGGTGGAACCGGGCGTGCCAGAACCGGAATTTCCCGAGCCTGACGCTGCCGAACCAGTCTTCGAACGGGATCTTTCTCAACGGACTTCGCCCGAGCCGGCTCTTCATAGAGGATTTTCTCCCAAACCGGTTTCTTGTCCGGGAATTGCCCCAGAATCGGGCGTTTCCAAGCCAGCCGTTCACAGATCGGACATGGATAAGCTGGGCAAGCCGGTTGCTCCTGGTGTTGCGGGGAGGTCCAAGGGGTGGCCGAAGGTATACTCGCTGCCCCAGTTTTCTCCAGAGCTGCACAATGCCCTGTTGAGGGAGGACCCGTCCTTCTACAAGCGCGGGCGGACGACGCTCAAGACGCAGATCATCGATGCCATCGTGAGGGACATCTCCAAGTACGATGGGGGGTTGGGGTAAGCCGAAACTACAAGACCAGCAGCAATAAAAAGAGGACTTAGACAGGGTTGCCCATTGTTTCCCCTGCTCTTTATGATATACCTCAGGGGGATGGAAAAAAGATAAAAGGGGTGCACAGTAAGTTTTGACCTGACTTTGATGGAGGAGGGACATAAAGTAAATCAGATATTGCCAGGGTTAATATATGTAGACGACATTGTACTCCTATCAGAAAGTCTTGAGATAATACAGGAACTAATGGACCTTTTCCACATACCAATGGCACCATGCGGTGGCTACACAAACTAAGAATCGAGGAAGTGACTTGCCTGCGCTACCAATCGATAATGGAAGCTACGCTACCAGTTTCTTCGCTCTCTGAGCTGCGACGCATGCCCAACGCGACTTTAAAGAGGGGCATTGGTGGCGTCCACCTAAACGTTCTGTTTTTCTTTCAGTCCACTCTCTTTTTTTTGTGTAGCACAATTATATATATGCTGCAATTGCGTGTTATACTTGCTGATCCACAGCCTCCTTCCGAATTTCCTCGATTTCTCGTGCCGACATCCGCTGCTTGGCATCGGGCACTCGTGCGTACGCAGAACGCTTCTCGGAAAAGGTCCATTAGGATTTGCAGCGGGGTAGGGGACAGTGTAGACCTGAACTTCAGTAGCGACAAGTCAAGTATAATAGTTTTCAACGACAGGAAGGGGGAACCCCTGGAGATACAGGACACAGTTGGTAGAACAGATAGAAAAATACAAATATCTGGGAGTGTGGTTAAATGAGGGAAGAAAGTATTGAAGAGGACACAAAGATAATGTAATAAAGAAGGGCAAACGGGATTCAGCTATTATGAAATGCGGGGCGCTCTGGAACTATAATAGATATGAAGTCGTTGGGGCCGTAAGGAAGGGAGTCATGGTGCCAGGACTGTCATTTGGGAATGCAGTATTGTGTATGAGGTCAGAAATCCAGGTAGGTTTAGAGATACAGCAAAGGAGTGTGGGTGGGTTGGCATTGGGGGCACATGGGAATTCACCAAATGAGGGAGTACAGGGGGATATGGGTTGGGCATCTTTCGAGAGTAGAGAAGCGATCAGTAAAGCAAAATTTGAACAAATACTAGCTGAAATTGAGGATACACGGTGGGCAGCGAAAGTGTACAAGTATCTATATATGAAAAGTCTAAAAGGTAGGTGGACAAACAGAACCCGCCAGCTGGGATTTATTTACATTCAACGAGATGGGGCCAATCGGAGCATATCCATAGAAAAGGGAGTAAAGGAAACTTGAAGGACATTGTGGGAAGAGAGATCGCAGGGGAAATCAGCTTTAACAATATACAGGCCACAAAAGCAAGAAATAAATAAGGAACAGTTGTACAATAATTCATTGGGAAGCTCATTGCTGTTTATGCTAGAATGGGGGTGCTAAGAACAAAAGCATAAATTCCAGGAAATTGACATTCTATGCGACATATGCTACCGCGAAAGGGAAACTATAGAACATATAATTTTAAGGTGCTTGTGGGGGTTCATTCCATCCTCTTAGGGGGGATGACTGCGGATTTGGGGGGGGGCAACTGGATTTCCAGACGTGGATGGACGAATGGATAGAGAAAGAATTGCGGTAACTGAGAGGACAATGGACAATTGGTGGAAAAGATCTGGGGAGTGGTGAAAATACAGATAAAAATAAACAATGGGAACATGTAAAGAGAGGGAGGGTTGTGTTAGAACAAAATTTATACAAATTTTATGTTAGGCTAGGTGGCACAGCTGCCGCCCATCACAAAGGGTATAGCCATTACCATCCATCCATACTGTAAGCTTCCCACATGCTGCACTACCCTGTGTCTTTGAAGATGTACTCTGACGATTTTAAAGTTCTGGCTTTATGTGGGATCTCTCCACGGACCTTACTCGTGTGTGTTGGTCACGCCGTAGCATTCCATGGGAGGGAGTGTGGGCAGTGGAGCGAAGCTGTTGGTTTGACCTCATGGCCTCTGCCACATGAAGCTAAAGGCCCGTTCACACTCTTGCGACCTCTTAAACCTGGGTTCCTTAAAACTTCTTAAACCAGAGAACACACTGGCGCCATGTATTGGGAAGCAGTGTAAACTCGGCGGTCCGGCATATTTTTTTTATTTCTCGCGCATTATCCTTTCTTTCTTGGCTCGAAACACTTTTGTCAATGTTATAAACGAGCCTTTCTATGGGTTTTACGCACATTTGACCTCGAAAATCCCGCAAAACCTTCGCTCTTGTGAAATGCAGTTCCAGGGTCACCGCATAGATGGCGCCACAATGTCAGTGTGTTCCCTCATTCTAAAAACATTTAAGAAGTTCTAAGAGATCTCGTCTCTCTCAGTCGTACTCGGTCGCAAGAGTGTGAACGGGCCTTTAGTGTCTCGTGACATCATGTATCACATGCTATAATGATTGATATCATGGTGTCATGTTCTGTGACGTCACAGAACATCATGGTGTTGTGTGATGTCAGTGGCATATGATGTCATGGTGTCATATGACATCAGTGTCATGTTAAGTCCAATGACATAATTATTGACATCATGGTGTTATGTCATTGTTCATGTGACATCATGGTGTCATGTGACGTCACAATGTCGTGGTGTCGTCCTGTCGCGGTGTCACCTCACCTCTCATGCGATATAATGTCAAATGAAATCATGATGTCATGTCATTGTTCACACGACGTCATGCTGTTATGTGACATAATGGTGTCATGTGACGTCAGAATGTCAGTGTCAAGTAAAATCATGGTTTCCCGAACTAGTTACATTTTCTGGATACCTTGGACTTTGTTCTTCCTGGCATGCTGTTTAGTATCTTTAAATTTGAAATATCTCTTGAGAAAACGGCAAATGAGGAAAATGCCAAAGGGAACATTCAAATTCCCCGTGCTTTCCAGTTGCATTACGTCACTGGCAGGCGTAAACAGGCTGTCTAGAAAACAAAATATTTGTTTTTGCTGCTAAGCGAGTGCTGAAGTGAGCTTTTCCGGCATTCATTTGATACTAGTGATTTTGTGATGCCACTGGCATCACGTGATGCATCACGTTTTCTGGGTTTTCCAGTAGAGGCTTTCCGTTTGAACAAAATGATGAGGTCCAAAATTTTTAGTACTTAGTAATCCGGTTTGTTTGTTTTTGCTTTGTTGTGCAATGGAGGTGCACGTGACTAACTTGTGTTGTGCGAAGTGTGTATTTTTTTCCCCTTTGTATTTTCCGAACGTTGCAAGTTCCTGGAGTAGTATACCAGATGGGGTCAATACACTGATCAGCCGAAAGATTATGACCACCCCTACTTTGTGGGAATTAGTGCACCTAGCTGATGCACCATACGCGTCTTCTGCCATCTTTGGGTGGAGATGATAGATAACGACTGCTGTAAATACAGAGGCAGCACTTTGTCGACCACTGTAAACAACTTATTTTCCGCGGGCTCACTATTTTGCAATTTAGGTCGAAGCTGAAGTTTTGGAATAAATTGCGGGTTATAATTTTTGCGTTGCGGTGGGATCTCAATATAGATTTCATTTTTCGCGTATTTCAGGCGATTCGGGAAATTCACTAAAATTAGGTTTTTGCGAAAATCAAGTCAATTACAGTAGGTGTGCACATTATGGAAAAGGCATCATTTCATAGATTTCAGTGACTTCGACAAAGGGCAGATCGCGACGTCAGGATCACTGCTGACCAGTTACACCCATTGCTGGCTTGTTATACCCACCGAACTGGAATCTTCTATCTTCTAACAGGACAATGCTCCATGTGGATTGAAGAACATGATACTGAATTTCAGTTGATTTCCAGGCCTCCTAACTCCTTAGAAATCAATCCCATTGAGCACATCTTGGAGGTAATAAGGGTGCCAGTTCAAATCTCACAAACCACCCTCTCGTAATCTACGGGGATTGTGCGACTTGTGCTTGCAAATTTCGTACAACCTTGCTCGAGGCAATTGCCAAGGACTCGTAGAATCCATGCCGGGAGGGGTTGCAACTGTTTTGCATGCCAAAGGTGGGCGACGCTAGATGGGTGGTCATAATGTTTTGGCTAATCAATGTATACTACATTACCTGCAGGGAGTGATGTAATGGCCCCAGTGGCCCTCAGTTGACACTGCTTGGGGCTGGACCTTTGCAAGCGTAACCATCCTTCGTTCTTTTCCTGCAAAGGTTGCCAAGTCCATCCCAATACTGCCAGGTCTTCAAAGCGCTGAGAGAATGTTTCCCCTTCCTCCGGGAGAAACTGCGATGGGTATGTATGCTCCTTCTCACAATTGCTCACGTTTGACTTGTGTGACTGTATGTGCTTGGAAGCTGCAATGTCGTCGGGAGGGATCGGTGGCCGATCGCGCGAGCACGTTGCGGCTCAGAGCTCGTGGAACGAGAGCTCGTCTTTGCAGAACCCAGAAATCCTGGATTCTATCCCCACCTCCGCCCGTTTCGACCTGAATGAGCATCGTAGCGGTGTGCATTCATGTATCGCTACTGCATGTTGCACGTGAAAAATCTTAGGCTAGCAGCGGTACTGGACTGGCTAAATTTCTCATTTGCAGCTCGAACCAGTGTCGCCGTACCATAAAGGCAGACTGACCCTACGCCATATAAACACGAGTGTCTAATTTGCTTGGTTGCTGGGAACATTGCGGTGGATTCAGCACCTCTTCAGTTGGTTCAGCTGCTGAGGTTTCAGCATTCTTCTCTCCTCTATGGCTTATGTATAGTCGATTCTTGGCAGTCTTGCGTAAGTTCAGTTACTTTCAGAAAAAAGTAGCAAAGTTTCCATTACAGTTATCGCAAAAAAAGAGTAACTCGTTACAGTTACTTTTAAAAAGTAACGACGTTACTTTTCAGTTAATTTTCTACAACACAAAAAAATTTAGGAAAAACTAGAAAACACCCCTCACCAAGTTTTATTGGGTAACATTAAAAAGTATGCTTTTTACTTTATATTGTAGCCTAGCAGCAGTTGCTTCTGTTTCCTTCGTTTGATGGCGAACACGAAACATGCGCAGTACGGAGTAATGACGCTAATCAAAATAAGAAATATGTGCAGTTCCCTCTGCGTGTATTCTTGTTTCGCAATTGATACACCCGATTAAAAAGTGTTTGCACAGAAAAAAGAGAAACTGCAACATAGATAGTGCTTGAAGTTACTATGATGCAAGTGTTCAGTCACAAAGTACAATCGCGTGCATAAAGATAACTAGTAGATTTTTTTTTTCCATCAAATCGACACGTGGCTATATTCAGGTTGTCCCTCGTGAGAATGAACGTATTCACAAGTTTGTGAAAAGGCCAACTTGACATTCAAAATGTCGGAACAGACAATTTGGAAAGTGCAATGAATAGCTAGATTGTACGCGTTCATTAATATATTATTAAAAAAAAACTTTAAAGTAACGACAAAAATAACATTGTTACTTTCATCGTTACCTCAAAAAAGTAATAGAACTACAGTTACAAGTTACATTTTGAAGAAGTAACTCGTTACAGTTGCAAGTTACCAAAAAAGTAACGAAATCACAGTAACGTGTTAAGCGCCGTTCACACTCTTGCGACCAAGAAAGACCGAGATAGACCAGACCGGTTTTTAAGCCTCTTGCAACTTCTTGGGACCGGATGCGCCGCAGAGGAGCTGGTCCTAAGAGATTGCAAGAGGCTTAGAAACCGGTCTGGTCTCTCTCTGTCTTTCTCGGTCGCAAGAGTGTCAACCGGCCTTTACTAGTAACGCATTACTACCTATGACTGACTCTCGGTAATCCAGTTGCTTTATCTTAATTTTTGGTTAGCTCGGAGCATGGGCGCATTCCCGGCAATCCTACACGCTATTCTGTGGGCAATATGTGATAATTTGAAGCTTTTTTCCCTGGGTCTGGTTAATTTAAAGGATTTTGTTTTTGTTCTACAGACATTTACTAGTAACTTTGGGAGCATGAAGAAGCGTCGCGATTGGGCTGGCCAAGCTTACATTCTAAGCATGCTCAATTTATTGCTTTTTTATCTACTGTTTCCACGGTCGGGAAAAGAGTCAATGTGCGCAGCGTGTGGGTAAAATGCCAAGCCACCCAATTACAGTCGCCGACCGATTATTCGGATTTCGCTGGGACTGAAAAAACGTATGAATAATAGAGCAGTCCGAAAAATCGGCAGATTGAAAACCTTGCCTTTACAGGGTGAAACAAGGAGACGGCAGGCTCTTTAAATCGACCGGAAAATTCGGTTTCTTAACCTATCGCGCTACGACTTTGTGCAGCGTTGCCCACAGATGGTGCATTTTTTTCGTAAAATTTGCGAAGAGCGAACTTACCTGAGGAAAAAGTAAAGAAAGAAAAAGGCTTAGCTCCTATGGAAGCGCAGCGACGCCACCGGTCTGCAAACAATGCGGCGCCGTTTTGCACGGGAGACAAGAGATGGCGCAAGCGGTCGCGACGCCGACTGCCGCCAACGAACGAGCAGACGACGCCGAGAGCCGGCTCTTTAGCAGACAAGGAACTGCAGTTCCTTGCTGTTACCGCGCCTGTCTTTTTTGTTTCTGCGGCTGTCGCCGCCTGCGGAACGCGCGCCGCTTTTGAGTCGAAAAGATTGTCTGCTAAAAAGGCCTGCTCTCGGTGCCGTATGCTCGTTCGTTGGCGGCGTTTGTTGCGCCATCTCTTCTCTCCCGTGTGAAACGGCGCCGCGTTGTTTGCAGACCGGTGGCGTCGCTGCGTTTCCATAGGAGCTAAGCCTTTTTCTTTCTTTACTTTTTCCTCAGGTAAGTTCGCTCTTCGCAAATTTTACAACAAAAATGCACCATCTATGGGCAACGCTGCAGAAAGTTGTAGCGCGATGGGTTAAGAAACCGAATTTTCCGGTCGATTTAAAGAGCCTGCCGTCTCCTTGTTTCACCCTGTATTACTTCTAAGTGGGAAAGCCGTAAATTGTGCCTTGGTTCAGGTTACGCCTACGTTTCCGTTCGACAGCTTTCTGCTAGCTTGAGAATCGCTGCCTTCTTTTCTAGCGTTATGGTCAAGTAGCAGAAGAACAAATGGGGCCATGACATCCAAGCCAGCGTTGTCCGAACGAGATCAGAGGCGCAAATCCACGGGCGCAAAATGGCGACTGGCGATGCAAAGGAACGAAAAACAAAGCAAAATGATAATGATGATGATGATGACGTGCAGCTAAATGGGGAAAAAAAAAAGGGCTAGCATAGCGTCACCTAGCGGTAGGACTCGGGAGTGCTCAAGTAGCGCCGCCAAACCAAGCCAATCCATTGGCAGCCAGCATAGAATTGAAAATGGCCACTTCTGGATGGTATTTTCCGCTGATCTAGCTGATCGCTCGCGACGATTTCGTCCGAATAATCCAACTTTCTGACTTCAAGCTGTCCGAAACATTGGTCGTGAATATACACTATTTCTATGGGGTAAATCACGGTTCCGCCTTTAGGTCCGAAATATAGAACAAGTCCGAAATAACGGAGTCCGAAAAAACGGCTGGCGACTGTAATTGTGACAATGTTATGAGTGAGCACCTGGCACAGACAATGCATAGATTTGATCTTGCTAGTGCTGCAAAGCCTTGTTCATGACCGGAGCCAAAATATTTTTTTTTTTATTTTTAGCCAGGCGATATAATTAGGGTGTCAGGAGACTACCCAATCAATATTTTTCTACAGCGTCGCATATATTTTTAATAGAGTCAAAAAACGCAACTGCTTGAAACCGAAACTGGGCCGAAGCAGAAATGTAGAGGAGGAGAGGGTTTCTGGATGTGGCTGCACCCGACTGAGTTGTATTTTTCTTTTTTTTTAACGTTTGTTTTTCCGGTTGTGTGAAGCAGACGAGAATCTGGCATGTCGCGCAGAATACGTTGAATTCAAGCACTTTGTGCTAGACTTCCGCGCATGCAATGTCTTCAGCCGGGAGAAGGGGCGACGACTCGGCGACATCTTTGTGCGAATCAACTTGGTGGTCGGGCGTGTCGTAGGAGGTAAATCCGAATTGCTCTTATTGGTAAACGATTTCTCTTTCGAAGGTAGACAGATTTGCCGGTACGTGAACAACAGTTCTGAAGTAGAGGTACCATTCCCGTCCTCCATCCCATACTCCACTTTGTTAAACCGTCCAGCCCTCTACTCCCGCGACACGACGCCATGTTCAGAATTACGCAGAGAATGCAGAAAGTGCTTCCAGTTCTCAATGCAACTTTTTTTTTTTTTAATCAACCTATCTAGCTTTCTAGAAGCCACAAAAACGTAATATCGTATTTTTTTCTATTTTTAATATTGAGTGTGTGCCTTCGATGACCCTGAAGTTTGATTATATTTGGTGTGTGTGTCTAGACCATGTAAAATGGCTCGTGACCTTGGAGAAGAGAGTGAGCATGACTCAAACCGGCCAGTTTTCTATCGACGGTTTTTGGGCGGAAAGAAAAAATTTCGAGCGGAAAATTGTGTTCTGGGTAGTTGGGCTCTCCTGTATCATGTACAGTCGAAGCTCGTTAGTTCGACTCCCGTTATTTCGATCATCGCGTTAATTCGATCCTTCCGTTTAGCAACGTCAGAAATGTACAGGCTTCAATAGGCAGAAAACCCCGGTATTTCGATCTGATAAATATCCCCAACCCGATAATTCGTCCCGGGAGCCAGCATCTTCGTAACCAGGAAATATTTTTTAAGCCAAGGTTAAAACGGCGCCTCGGGTCCATATCACAAGAGCGAATGACATTTACCGAACGGCGACATTTGAGCGAATGGTCGTTTTAGCGAATAACGGGGGCGCGCGTTAACCCATCCGTCGCGCTGCACTTTACGCCGCTTCGCGGCGACAGTCTGCGGCAACTCATTACAAAAATATGAACTCACTTGGCCCACCCGAAAACGCCGCTTCGCAACGTCCGACTATTCGCTAAAGTGTCGTTCGATGAAACGTGGGCGTTCGCTAAAACGTCATTCGATCAAGTGAGTGCCTCCCCACCTCCACAGACGCGCGATGCCCGTTGGCGCCCCCAGCGCCTCGAGCCGGGCGCGCTCCGCGAAAGAGCGCCCGCGCAGACAGGCGCCCTTTCGCCGGCGCCTCGCCAGCCTCGCGCCGGAGAAAGGAAAGGGCCGATTTGATTAGTCGAGGTAAGACCCAGTCAGAGCGCACCGGCCCGATCACGTGGGGAGGCGCGCGGAAGGAGACGGGAGCAACGAGATGGAAATGAGTGAGCGATGAAGTGAGAAAGAACGTCGGGAGGATGGAGAAGGAGACTGGAGAAAAATGAGCGAGC